TCGGGCAGACCTCGGTGGTTGTGACGGTGGCTGTAGGGTGCACAGTGCCTCCAATATTACAATCAGACCTTTTACACGAAGTCTGTCAACCCCACATTTGATGTGTTAGTATACAAAAATGTTCACATCAACAGGAAGACCCCTGACACCCTCTGGAGACCCCGGTGTTCTCATCTATTACACGGACATGCTAAGCATATGCCAACGTAAGGATCCAACGACGGAACGCATGAGAAGCTCCTAGAAAAAAGCCTGGACGTAGACACTGTCCTACTTTCTCGTGCTCATGATGACCGATATAATGAGGAGGGAGAGGGAGTAGGGAGAAGAATCACCCCAGCATATCTTTAAAACACATTCAGTCTTCCCATTCTGACTCAAGGAGGAGGAGGAATAATTAGTTTATCGGAGTGATCCAGGCATTTGACGGGCCATTTTACTACATTCTCTTGATGCTTGGATGAAGGTATTTGTCCGCTCTTTCCACCTTTCTGAAAGTGACACTTATCTTCCTGTCCCTGTGAACACTCAATTTGTCAATTCCTATTCGTTGAGAACCAACTATGTGACAGGCACTCAGGGTCTATGAAAATAGGTGAACAGTACGGTGTGTGTGTGTGTGTGCGTGTGTGCGCGCGCGCAGAGTTATAAGACATAAAGTTATGCTCACTTAGGGCTCACGCTGGAACAGGGGAGGCACACGGTAATTACACATAAGCTGTCAGTGGGAAATAACAGCTATGGGGACACAGGGATCAGCAGAGAGGGGAGAACAGCAGGAGTTTGCAATCTCAAGAGTGGTGGTCAGGAAGGCTCCCCAGAGGATGAGCTTTGAGCAAGGACCCGAGACAGGTGAGGGCGTAACGTGCTAGAATTTGAAAATGCGGGGCTCTAGGTAGGGCGGAGGAAAAGTGCAAGGTCAGGGGCAAAGATGCCTGTCTTCGGCAGCGCGTCTTCCCCCCCCCACCCCTTTCCCTTCCCAACGTCAGGGCTGTTCCTAATGCGGTGCGATCCTCGGATTACAGAAACGCTGTATTTGCACAGGGATCCGGACTGGGAAGGGGAGAATGGGGACTCTAACATTTTATTTCAGCTTACTCCTCAAGCTCAGTTCCTTTGAAAGAGCTGACATGTTTTCTTGGCCATAAACCTGCTGTGAGCCTATGTACAAAAGTGTCACCTGTCAACAACCTAGTAAATCCACAAGATTCTTTTTTCTCCGAAAAATCGTGGGAACCGAATGGGTTGTAATAATCAAAGTTGTAGGACCAGTTTAGGCGGTCCTGGTTCCTGCTTTGCACTTGTAAAGCTGAATGAGAAGGTATCTATTTTTGCAGAATGTTTGCATAGCATTCAAGATAAATAAATCTATTTGTGTATACATCCCGCAACTTTGCACAGACAAGAAAAGAGAATGGGATAATGACGTCTTGCCTGTGCATTTCTCTGCCAGGGCTCTCGCAAACTCTCCAAGAACAAAGCCATATTCCAAAAAAAGAAAGGACACCAGCCCCTGGGTGACAAAGAAGACCCGACCATAAGCCCACATGTATGTTTCCAGCTAAGCTCACTATCGCTTCCGAGTGCCTAATGCAGCTACTAGAAACCTATTGTGACCCCGCATGTTTTCCCTCTTGTACGAGGAGGGGGTAGGTCAGGGAGGTGCTGATTCAGAAGCTCATTCCAGTTCCCATGGCAGGATGCCCCGAGGCTTAATTATCTGGGAGAGGAGGTGAGTCATTCCCAGACTTGGGTTCAAGTTCATGCGTGAAACCTGAGTGTGATCTAACTACCCTCTCTCGTTTCCAAAGCCATGCCCTTCTCGACTCTAGCGAACAGCAGATTATAATGTGTGTGTGTAGGAGTGAGAGACAGGACAGGAAGGGTACACCTTCCCATCTCCTTCAAATACCACAAAATCACAGCACAACATAGCAATCACGGATACTGGGGATGATGCTGTTGAGAGCAATTTTGTTCTTCGGATCCTATTTCACAAGGCACAGAAGATACATCTTCATGAAGACAAGTTAACTGAATTGTAAGGGGAGGCACTTTTAGGATTAGCTTTAGTTATCTAGAACTTTCACTTGTAGTACAGAATACCTTCTTTCTTAACAGTGTTCAACACAGGAACTTTCACTCTATCAAGCATTCATAACTGTAAGACCCCACAGACCCCACACTCTGTCTTCCGGAGAACTTTTATTTCCAGATGCCAAGAGCCAGGTCTCAAGCCCCCATATGTGAGAAACAGTCAAACTTGTGTGCTGACCCCCTTCCCCCGGGCAAGCGGGCAGTCACAGGGAGCCTGATGGGGGTGATCCCTCATTTCTAACTGGGCTGTGACTTACCCATCACTCCTCTGGCTTCAGGCTGAGGCTAGCCATGGGGGATGGGGTGCCCTCTCCAGCTGGGAACTGCGGTTACGTCCCTCTCCTGACACACTCTGAGGCGAACACTCGGGACATGGGGAAACAACCATAAAGTCAACCCGGAGAGCCCAGGAGTAACTAAGGGACAGCTGGAAGCTCTTTACTCACCCTTTGCAAGTGGGATCATTTTCAGGGTAACTTACCAAGTGCGTTCTTCTATTACACGATTAGATGCAGGGGTGCTAGGGACCAAATGTTTGTGCCTCCCCAGAATTCATGTTAAAATCCAAACCCCCTCCCACGTGATGATGTTAGGAGGTGGGGCTTGGGGAGGCTGACTGGGTCATGAGGGTGGATCTGTCATGAATGGAATCAGCCAGTGCCTGTCCCTTCTCTTTCTGCCATGTGAGGAAGCCCCAAGAGGTCGGCCATCAGCAACGGGGAGGAAGGACGACGATGCTGGCGCCAGACTTCAGAACTCTGAGCAATCAGTGTCTGCTGTCTATAGGCCACCAGGTCTACAGCAATTTGTCAGGGAGCCAGAGCTGACTGAGACAGGTGGACATACGTCATTTGTGTATTCAAATAAAGAGAATTCAAAGGCAGGTGTTTTAAGGAGGGAAAACGTGAGAGGACTACAGAGAGAGGAAAAAGAATATGCAAGAGAGAACAAAAATTCAGACTGCCCAGGATTCCTGCAGCTTACACAACTAACTTTCAAACCTAAACTCCTGGAAAGAGGCAATTTCTCTGTACATGTCTGTTTCACTTTATACGGTAGACAGACTTCTGAAAAACCGGATACGAACGGGAATTTTACAAAATCCTTTTTGTATACACCGTTGAAAGCTCACAACTGTCTTAGTTCGGGTCACTATAGCAAACACACCTGAGACCAGGGGGCTTAGAGAGCAGACATCGGTTAGCTCACAGCTCTGGAGGCTGGGAGTACCAGATCAGGGTGACAGCTCGGTCTGGTTCCGGTGAGAACGCTCTGCCTGGCTTGCAGCTTGCTGCCTTCCTGCTGCGTGCTCACATGGTGGAGAGAAGCAGGGCTCTGGTCTTTCTTTCTTCACTCATAAGGGTCCTAATCCCATCATGGGGCCCCACCCACCCTCATTAACCCTAATTTCCCACCAAAGACCCACCTCCTAGTACCATCACATTGAAGGTATGGGCTTCAACACAGGAACTTGGGGAGATACAAACATTTAGTCCGTTACACCAGCTCCAAACCCATTCGTGAAGATAAGGGTCCTTTGGTAAGAGAGAACATTGGTTCCTAACCTCTAAAATGTATCCTCTTGGCAAGTTTGAGTTTCCAAGTCTTCTGAATGTTCTTACATTCATGAAGTTAAAACAGTATTAGAGGCATGCATTCCGGCCCCCCTCATTATGCAGAGGAAGGGTTTGAGGTCCAAAGAAGCAACACTACTGAGCCACGGTCACCCAGCTGGAGTGAGTCAGAGCTGAGCCTTGAACTTGAGAGTTTGTTCTTCTTGGCGGTTATTCACTTATACTGCCTGAAATAAGCGGGCCAGTGCCTGGGGCCTGAGAACCCGTTACTTATGGGAGCCTGTAGTTCTAATGCCCTATTTTCTCGAAGTCAAAACGACATCATCGGGGTGTTCCTCTTTCTCATTGTGGAGTCATCTTTATTTTATTTATATTTTGCAGCAAAATGATTTAACTCAAATGTGCTCAGGCACAGAGGAAATCTGACCTGAAAGACGGTCTTTGTGGCAGAAGGAGAGCCAGCAGATACTTATTTCCTGCCTCTCCAAGGCCAGTAACATCCTGGTACAAGGGGATCCATCAATACATCTTTTATAAGGGCCTCTCTGCACAGTGAGGTGGAAAATCTTTCCAATGACTCTGGCCCATTTGTAACTCTGCCCTGAATAAAAGAAGGGATTGATCGGGGCTTGGACCGCTTCCATGCCCAGGAGCCTTCCTGCGCCCCAGGAGGCAGTCTACAAATGGAATTCAATTGGCCAACTGCTCCTGGAAAGGGAGCCCAGTAGGGGTCAGCACAGCCTCTGCAGAGCAAGCAGTGAAGGGTTAACTGTGCCCAGCCTTGCTCTGCTGGGGTCTGCAAGAGGTAGTGATGCCTGGACGTCTCTAATAGAAAGAGGCTTAAGAGGAATCAGAGGGAAGGTTTGCCACTGGGTGCTCAAAATTTCCCGTCCGGGTGACCCCCAATGAACAGGTGGTGTGATGTAGCCTCAGTGTGTTGTCCATCAGCCAATGGGTTGGCATTTCCTAAGCATCCTCAATGGGCTGGCAGAGCGGGATTGCTTGGAGGCTCTGTAACAGGACAGAGGGGCATGGAGGCTTGAAAAGGGTGGCCCATGGCTCTGCACACATCCCACGACCCCAATCTCCCCATATGGTGGAGTGCTTTGCTGGCTGGGAGACCAGGACCCTGAGCCCAGTTTTAGATGCTGACACTTGGGCAACCGACTTCTCCCTCCAGGCTATGCTTTACTCTTCCTTAAAACTGGGGTGAGGGGGTACCTGGGTGGCTCAGTCTTTAAGCGTCTGCCTTTGGCTCAGGTCATAATCCCAGGGTCCTGGGATGGAGCCCCACATCAGACTCCCTTCTCTGCGGGAAGCCTGCTTCTCCCTCTGCCACTCCCCCTGCTTGTGTTCCCTTTCTCGCTGTGTCTCTCTCTCTCAAATAAATAAATAAATCTTAAAAAAAAACAAACAAAACTGGGGTGAGTTCTTATCTTAGAGGAGCGTTTCTCAATTTTTTTGGAGGGGGGACATCTTGTCCCCCCCCCCAACCAGGGAGGCATTTGGAAATTTCTAGAGACATTTTTGGCTGTCACACTGGGGGAGGGCGAAGGGGAGCTCTTGGCATCTAGTACGCAGAAGCCAGGGACGCTGCTGGACATGCTACCAGGCAGCCCCCTCACACACACACACAACAAAAAATGTTCCAGATCAAAATGTCAGTAAAGTCTGTCAAAGTCGACAAAGTGCAGAGAAGGACCTCACAGTCGGGTCCAGTCCTGAGACAGCGGCCCGCGCTCCCGCTCACCTACCCAAGATCGCGTCCCAACCCTTCCCTTCTTTCCCACTTCCGGGGCATGTGAACTTGAACGAGACAGCTTCAATGTTGAGATGAGTGGGATCACAGAACCCGATTTAAGCCAGAGCTGCCACGAGGATTAGAAATCAGTATCCTTCCTAGTACCTGGCACACAGCAGATGCTCAAGAAATGGGATGCATTACCTTCTGCCGCAAAAATAACGTCTATCTCTTCTAACTGTCGTGAGGATAAGTAAAACATGAAGAGTGGTTAGCATGGTGCCTGGCGTCATAGAGGATATGGGGCAAGCCTTGGTTGGTGAAGGCAAAGGACCAATCCATGAACACAAACGTGAGTGACAAGAACCAATGGAGGTTCATGGAAAAGCACATGTCCAGCATGGAGCTTAGCGTGCAGATGCTCAAAAGGTATCTGCTCGATGGAGAAGGGGGACTGCTCAGAGAAGGAGAAGAATCTACAACAGCGTTTCTCAATCTGAGCATCAGAGACACGGGGGGCCTGACGATTCTCCACTAGGGGAGCTGTTCCATGCCCTGTAGAATGGTAGCAGCATCCCTCACCCCTACCCACTGAGCCTGGAGCATCCCTCCCTCCCTATCCCGGTCGTGACACCCAAAACCGTCTCTGGCCATTGCCAAGTATTCCCTGGGGGGCACAACTGTTTCTGGTTGAGAATCACGGATCTAAAAATGTCTGACACACAGTGGGCTCTCACTCAGCCAATATGCTGGAAGGAGGCAGGGTAAGAGGAGCGAGGCACCAAGGCTGACCTGCCGGACGCCTGCCCTTGGCTGCCTCCACCATCTCCCACTCGCAATGCACAAGGGGAGACAGAGCAGACACCAGCTGGGTTTCTCTGAAACAGACACCCTTACTCGAGCGCACGGTTTCTGCTCTACCTCAAGAGGGCAACTTGTCCGAGAAGCCATTTGTCCAGTCCTAAGGATTTTATGCGGACATTGCTGTCAATCTCCACACCACTCAACCCGCCTCTCATTACTCTCCCTTCCAAGGGATTCTTTGGAAGTACTTCCAGTCCCAACTGGCTTAATGTCCCTACTGGGTGGATGAGCCTTTGTAGTCAAGAAGAGGCATGGAGTGACTCTGTGTTTGTGGTTTGAGGCTCAGGGGTGGAAAAACCCATGCATCTCTAGCATCTGAACCTAACCTTTTGGCAGATGGCGAGGGAGCTATGCTGGGAGAAAGGAAAAAGTGCAAGTCACAGGTGCACAGCTGGAGGGGCTGCTGGGACACGGGGGGGGGGGGGGGGGGGGGGGGCAGGGGCGAGAGGTCACGTGAGTTCAAAGGCAGCTGGGCTCAAAGGCTGGGGGCAGGAACACAATCAGATTGAAACTTCTAGGACCCGCCTTACAGAATGCGCTACAATGGAGTGGACTCACTGGATACTTTTAACGCCGGCCGTCCCTTTTCCTCACACCCCGGCTCCAGGCTTGAACAAGTCCTTGGTCCTCCTGTGCCCATCCACTTCTCTGCATCCCCACCATCATCTGCAGCTAGACTCGAGCAGCAGACTCCGGACTGATCCCCCTGGGCTTACCTTGCCCACTCATGCAACCCTTTGACACCGAGTGGCCAGAGGGATCCGTTGAAAAGGCCAATCAGATGCTACTCCTTTGCTTAAAAAGCCTTGCCTTTTAATTTTTCTTAGTACAAGGATGGAATTCTTACTGCAGCCTGCAAGGCCCAGCTGCCCACCCTCCACCTGCCCCCTCACCACTCTCTGTCTTGCTTCTTAGCCTTCTCTCCAGTCATTACCAGGTTCCCACTCAGACCAGGACCTTTGCACACGCTGCTCCCTCTTCCTCAAATCATCCTTACCCAGATTTCCTCATTTCAGCTTAAATGGCACTTGCCAGGGAAATTCTGCTGGCCTTCCCTGGCCAAGTCCACCACTCAACAGTCTCAGAACACTGGGACATTTATTCCATTGCACTTAGGCTGACTCAGTGACTGGCATCTGTCCCCACCAGATGCTGCTGCTGCCTGAGGGCAGAGCGTGTTTCATGCACTGATGTGTCTTTGCCCCTACCCAGTTCAGTAAACATTTGTGAAATAAATGAACGCACGAACGGGGATGGGGGAAGGAAGAGAGAAGCTTGCTCCAAGTTTAGACAGTGTCCCTTTCAGGGGTCATGGCCCACAGCTATACTTCCAGACGCCATGGGAGAAAAAAGGGGGCCGGGCAGAGCATGGTGTCCACTCTGCCCAGGAGGAAGAGGTGGATTGTCTCTTTCTTCTCCCTTGGAAGCTTCCCTATTCCAGCCCCAGCTAGAGGAAGACGGGGCCTCCCTGCCCTCCCTTCCAGGATAATCAGCCCCAGCAAATCCACCCACTGTTTTGATAACAAAGTGCCAAGCTCCCACTGCCTGGGGGCAGTGGACAGGAGACATGGACCCCGGTCTCAAGGAGCCCAGCAGCATCAGCACCATCTGGGGGCTAGCTGGGAAATGCAGAATCCCAGGCCCCCATTCTAGATGGGCTGAGTCAGAATCTGCATGTGAGCGGGATCCCAGGTGAGGTATGTAAGTGTGAGGCGTGCTGGGCTAGAGAGCACTCGACAGAACCACCTGGAGGGTTTGCCCCCCTGCACACCTCTAGACACCATCTACCCCGCCCCCAGTTTCTGATTCAGGGTTCGAGGTGTGCAGGAGAGCCTGCATTTCTCTCAGGTGCAAGGTGATACCATCGGTCTCGGATCCAAAGCAGTGAGAACCACTGCTTTCCACCTTTATGGGGGTTCAGGCAGGGCTCAGAGAGTCCCAGAAAGGCATTCTAAAAGAAGTAAGGGCGGGCGCCTTACTGGGTGGCTCAGTCAGTTAAGCATCTGCCTTCGGCTCAGGTCATGCATGATCTCAGGGTCCCAGGATCGAGCCCCGCATCGGGCTCCGTGCTTAGCGGGGAGTCTGCTTCTCCCTCTCCTTCTTCCTCTCTCCTTCTCTCTCCCTCTCAAATAAATAAATCAATCTTTAAAAAAACGTAAGCAGCGAGGTGTGAGCTGGAAAGATGAGTAAGATCTTGCCAGACAGCAGGTTAGAGGGGTGTTCTAGGCAGGGGGCACCATGTTAACAAACCAGGCAGCATGAAGACGGGAAGGGGAGGGAGGGAAGGGAGCCTGGGGGTCACAGAAACGCTCCCCATCAGGGTTCACACTCCCGCGGTGCTTACCCTGCATCAAGTCTCCTCCTGGGCCTTACATATTTCCATGTACTTCTCTTTCTTTTCCAACCGTTTAAAAGAAATAATGCTAGACTCACAGGAAGTTGCCAAGATAGTTACAGAGAGTTCTGTGTTCCTGGCTTCCCCCCGATGGTGGAATCTTACGTAACCGTGGTGCAATGTTAAAGCCACACAATTAACTTCGGGAGAACACTATTAACTAGAACCACAGACTATTTGGTTTTCACGTTTTCCATGCATGCGTGCGTGCGTGCGTGTGTGGTGTTACTGCTCTGTCTCACAACTACCCTTTTGTTATCCCATTTTGCAGACGAAGAAACTAAAGCACACGGAGAGTAACCCATACAAGTTAGAGGGAGGAGACTGAATTCTGGAAGTCTAGCTCAAAGCCATTCCTCATTATTGCTTCTCTGGCAAATCCTGGTATTTGTGCAAACTCATGGATCAGGGATATTCCCAGGGGGACCCACACCTCCAAAAGGAGGCCCACCCGAAGGACCCTGGGAAAAAGCCCCTTTGTCAGGGGCTGAGCAGAGAAGCTGGGGGATGGGAGGGTGGCCATGGATGCCCCGCGCTTTCAGCCCCCGGGCAGCCTTGTTCCCAGCTCAAAGGCACCCCTGTCCACTGGGTCTGCCCCCCAGGTACCTGGTCGGGTGATGTTCACAGGGCTGGCCTGGGCTGTCTGCCAACCTCAGGACCAGACAGAAATCTGCTGTCCCACATCCTGGCCCCTGCCCTGGTGCCTGGCAACCCCACAGAGGCCTGTTTGTGAAGGCAGGAAGGAGGCTGGGTTGCTCAGCCTTCCCCTCCGCCAAGCTCTCAGCCCTAGCAGCTGGGCTGGGCTGCGCGGAGGGGAGTGGGGACAGAGGACACACAGCGAGGCCTTACACCACTAAACGAGGCCTCCCTCACGGACAGGGCCCCCGGACGCCGCCTCCGTGGCCAGTGACTACCAGACAAAGCTGCCTCTTGCTGTGGACTTTTATGGCTTGTTGGGCTTCTTGGAAGGGAATGTTCTCCGTGCTTACCAACACGTAAAGATGATCTATGCACGTGGACAGGAACTGCTCAGACCCAAGCAAACCGCTGGATTTGTGGCCAGATTGGTGGGGCTACGGGTGAAATCTTTCCTTCTTCAACATGTTCACTGTGTTTGTGTTGCTTTAATGCTATTTATGTAGTTAGGCAAAAAGGCTTCCTTTCATTAGGGGGAAAAAAAAAAGATCAAGCCATAGGGGGAAAAAAAGTTAAAAAAAAAAAAAAACAACAACAACAAACCACACTATGGCCCTGGGAATGATTTTGCTTCAATGTCACCAGATCAGTGGTCTCATCTGGCCCTCTTCAAACCTCCATCTGGCCTTCCCTTGACTGTGAAAGTGTGGGTTTGGCGAGAAGGGTCCACCCCAAACTATTAACCTACAGAGCTCTGTATGGGAGGGAGTGGGATTGAGGGAGCAGAGCTAAGGGAGGTCTTTTACTTGTATTTTGCTCAGAGATTCAATAAATGTAGCCTTGGGCAGGCCGCACCAATGGGTCACAGTCATTAATTATAAGTCAATCCACTCTGGGATGGTTGGGAGAACACTGAAACCCAACTGTTTTAAAACATTCTGCAGGTCAAACCAAATTGGTCGACTCCCTAGTTGCTAGTTTGACTTCTGAAGTCAACCCTTGTCCAAGATCAATTCAGGAGCCCTGGGACTTCTTTGAGCTTTGGATCAGATTCTCGGGGGAGAATGATCAACTGACAGGCCCGCAGGTAATGAACTGTGACCCTGGGGTATCCACACAGCTCCCCACTCTCTGGCTAGAGGCCTCCCAGGCCAATTCCTCACCTAGCTCCCTTGGGTGCCACAGAGGAGAAGGAAAAACGCATGGTCAGCCTGCCCCAGCTGCATGTGGCTAAGTCAAGGTTATTTTAGAGCCCCCTAGAAAGCACTAGATCCAAGATACCAGAATATGTGTTGCCAGGTCCCCTCAGACTGCCAGAAGGTCCCCCCTGCAACTCATTCCCACCAGTTGCTGCTCCTTGAATGACATCCATACCTTTGCTCTCTAGAAGAACCCATACCAGGATGGGAAATGGACCCACAAATAACTGAGGGCAACATGTGAAACCAAATTACAATTTATACTGTCCCATTCCATTAAAGGAAAGCCTGCAATTAAAGACACAGAAGCCAGAAAGCCACTATAACTAGAGACAGAAAATCAATAACCACGGCGAAGGAGGGGAACTCTGCAAACCACAGCCAAGAGATTGATTCTGACATCCGATAAGGCTCTGAGCTTCCTGGTGGCCAAAGCGAAAAGGGATGCACTATATTATATAGCTCATAATCTGACACCTAGAAGCGTAGCCACAGAAAAAAGAAAAGCTAGGTCCTGGTACAACGTGCCTGGCAGGTGTGAGTGATGGGCAGGCAGGAGGCAATGAGGTCTAGAGGTGAGTGGCAGCCAGGCCAAGATTGGGCCTTTGGTTTATACTCCAAGTGGCATGAAGAGCCAGTGGCTGGCTGTGAGCAGAGGCATGACCTCACCTGACTCGTGATTTAAAAGAATAGTTCTGACAGCTATGCTGAAAAGAGTCGGCCGGGGGGCAAAGGGAGGCAGGGAGGCAGATCTGGAGGCTGCCACAAAATGCCACCCAAGAAATAGGGTACGAGCCCTGAGAATAAAACCCAGCCTACTTCCCAGCATCTACAAGGCTGGGCATGCTCTGGACCCTCCTCCCTGCTCAGCTCAAACTCATGCCTCTTCTTCTGCTCCTTCCAGCCACCATGACCTCTGTCCATTTCTTGCCACATGAGGTATCTGCGTATCCTGTTCTTCCCTCGCCCTTGTCCTTTGCATGTCCCCTTAAATGTCAGCCCCTGGAGAGCCCTTTCCCCAACTCCTGTCACACGCAGGACCTCCCTCAATTCCAGACTCTCCTGCTTCTTTCCTAGCCGACCATTACCATGGTCTGGTTTACTTCTTGGTTGGCCTGTGTGGGCCCATCCCTCCACCAGGACGTCCAGTATTTCATGGAGACCAAGATGGGTCTTCCCTCTCCTCTCCTCCTCCGTTAGAACCCAGGGCCCGACACATACCAGGTGCTTAAGAAATTCTGGTGAGTAAGCGAACCCTCTGAGGTAGACACAGAAAGGCTAGGTTATCAAATGGAAGCTCAGAGAGGTCCCGCAGGCTCTTGGTGGATCCCAGGTCCGACTCCAAGGCCAGGGCCCCTGACCCAATTACTCTGGAGTCACATCAGAAGATCTTGGTCCGACCTTATTCTGCAAGACTCCTCCCATTACATTAAATCAAGATCTTTGTGCCTTGCCACAGAGCCTGTGATGAGGATAAGAGGAGGGTCAGGGAGTGGCCGTTGGAGTCAGGCCCCAGTGGCCAGAGCAAAGGGGGAGGAGGCGAGAGCCCACCTGGCTGGCTGGCTGGCTAGCCTGACCACCACCATGTTCCACTGCTGGCAACACAAACTATCCTCCCTGAAGTACACAGCCTTTATCTGATCAATTTTCTAGGCTCTGCCAACCAAACAGTGGAATCCACAGGAAATTAAGCTTATTGACTCAGTCGTTGGGTACCACATGGAGAAGATATTTACACATGTCATCTGGGCCTGGGGGACTGTCGATTATTGGCAGTAGGTATTCACTGAGATTTGAACGACAGCTGGAGCAGAGATGGGGGTGTGGGGTGGGGGTGGGGGGACAGATACCCCATCTCTCCACTGCATGCAGATTTCTGAGTCTGGGTCCCTTCTACCAAGCCCCCATTTTACCCCCATGTGGCTGGCTTGGGCAGTGAAAGGATTTGAGGTAAAGCTAATCTTCTGCAGAAACTGGTATCTGAAAGAAATGACTTTTAAACTTCAGGCTGACTTAATGGGGCTCTCGTCGTTGGCAGCAATGAATTGTGATATGATTCGATTGCTAGGTGTGTGCTTCATGCCATCTCTTCATGGTTCTTGGAGCTGTAACTTCTCCTTGGGTCATTTACGACTGGAGGGGAAAGGCAACCTTTGAGATTCATGAT